TATTATTTTCAGCAAACATATGAATGGGATCCTGCGATTGATCAGACTGTAAAAGATTTATGGAACATGACAGCAAGGATCAAGTTCAAGCATGCACTTAGTGAGTTGAAAGCTAAGTGTGCAAAGAGAAACTTTCAAGCTAAGCCTGTTCATTTATGGACTGAGGTAATGGAGTTAATTCATGTGTTTATTATTATTTTTTAAAATTTTCAATTGTAATGTTTAATGTTTTTTATCATATTATTTATTAAGAAATTATATGTGTTCACCACTTTTATAGGACGAGGGTCATTTGAGAAGGTCAAGTTCTGCAAGGGCTAATCGAGCAAAAGGACCGAGGGTGACGCATACCAGCGGTTCAATGGACGTTAATGTTTATAAAAAGAAAATGGTATAAAAGTTAACATATTTTTAATGAATAATTAATGATTTATGATTTATAATTTATTTTATATTGATTTTAATATTTTCTCTTCTCTTTTTTTTTTTCTTTATAGCAACAAGCAAACCCCGAGGGTCGTCCACTAACATATCCTGAGGTCTACACCAGTAGAAGGCAGCACAAAGGAAAAGGAAAAGATCAACTGCCTGTATATTGTAATGATGAGGCTCAAGAAATTGAAGTATTTAACTTAACAATTTTATTTTAAATTGTGTTATGAATTAATTGAAATTATTTTAGTTATAATATTTAAACTATTGTACAATATAGTTATTGGTAAAAAGTTAGAACTCCATCCTTTTAGGGGAGAGTAAATTGAATTTAGGTGCCTAACGTGATATTTTTAATTTCACTTTAATTTTCAATACAATTAATTATTTATTTTGTCTTATATTATTTCAGGAAAAATTGACAGCTGAATATGCTACTAAACAAGAGGAAGAAGGATTTGACCCTCATGCTAAGATATTACTTAGGGCAACTGGTGGGGTCAAGAAAGGATGGTTGAAAGGTTTGGATATTCACACACATCCACAGGATATAAATGTGAGCACATCTAGATGAGAACCATTCAGGCCAGCCATTATAGGATAGTCTAATAGGGTTATCGAATTACAACAGATTGTTGAAGCATTGAAGGTAGATAATCATAGCCTTTGACAACAAATGTCTGATGTTTTGGCAGATAATGATAGCCTACGATAGCAACAATCGACCCTTGTGACACAGATGCAGCAACTCTACCAGCATTTAGGGATTACCCCAGCGAATACCAGTGGGACAGTCACCCCTAGGATACCCCGAGATATTTAGGTTTTTTATATTTCAATTAAATATTTGTATTAACTTTATATTTGTAATAGATATTGGAGACTTATATATTTATA